GTTTTAATATTCTTCATATAATTATGATAATCTGTTACGATTTTTTTTCCTCTAATTCTAAATCATACATTCTTATAAAAAAATGAAAATATTTATAATTAAATTAAAAATTAAAAATTAAAAGTTATATTTTTGTTAAATTAAAGAAATCTTTTTTAAATTCTAGAACTAAAATTCTAGAACTATTTATTTATTACTCTAATACATTTTTTATATCTTAATATAACCATATATTATTTGTTTAAACAATTTTTTTGTTATTGCTATTGATTTATGCATCAAAGTTTTATATTCAGATTATTGAAATATAATTTTCTTACAATACAAATGTTTATTATATCAATATACATTACAATTATTTCTCCATAATGTAAAAGATGATTCAGTAATTTATGGTCATGTAGAGAAATTAAATTCGATAGAAAGAGAGAACAAAAGAAAAAAAGGAAGCAATACCTTTTAAAACAGAGTGCAATTCGGTATGGAGACGAATCGATATTAAAAAAATTAGAAGCTATTTCGCGGTGATTGTAGAAACTAACAAGAGGTTTTCTTCAAGGATCTTGGCAGGGATCGCGTGATGGCCTACAGAAGCATCAAGCCGCTCTCTCTTTCTACCTTGTCGTTCTTACTTTTCGACGTAGTATCTCCTGCATACCGTTCTGCTTTTTTTCCGCTCGCCAATTCGACCAATAGACCCTCAGAGAACCCGATCCATAATCCATGCACGCATAGGGACCTGTCTTCCCATCGAATCGATGGAAAAGAAACCTTCGTCTCTTTTCTGGTATATACAACCATTACGAAACAAATTCTATGCTAAATTCTGCGAATTCTTTTCTTAATTTCACTCCTATACTATAATTTTATTCTCCGCTTCGCTATTGATGTTATTTTTTCGATATGGGCATGTCTCTTTTAAATGATGACAGAGGGCTATTTGAAAAATATATACTTTGCTTTGCAAAGTGATAATTGTTATTTTGGCAAATGATTATCACGTTTGCTCTTGTTACGTGTCGAGAGTTATATTTTATTTTCTCTTTGAGAAAAGAAATTATAGAGGATAAAAAGATACATTTTGTTGAAGTATTAGGTACTATTCATTTTCTGCAAAAATTAGCCATCGAAATTATGTTTTTATAAAAATTATTAGTTTAAAAGTGCTCTCAATTATAATCAATAATGATAATTAAAAAATAATTAAAGAATTATTAAGTGATTGACAATTTTATTATTAACAGTATATGATTGAATTATTTTTTAATTATTTCAAAAATTTTAAAGATTAATCAATTCAAAAATTCTCAAGAATTTCAATTGAAAGTTTGGAATTTTTGAAATATTTAAAATATTTAATATCTACGATCGAGTGAATAGATGAAAAATTAATTTTTTTTGAGATTTTTATAAATAATTATAAGATGATCAATTAAAAGAAAGAAAAAGAAAAGAAATGACACATCGTTCACATTTTTTATTTTTAATATTAAAATTAAAATTAAAGAAATTAAAAAAAATTAAAATATTGGAATTAGAAATTATTTTATAATAAAAATAAATATATTTAATTTCATAAAATTCATATTATGTCTTTTAGATAAAAGATATAAGAAAATATATAAAAATTTTATTAGTAACTAACTATCGTTCAAAAAATATAAACTCACAAAATTTGCTATTTTCGAATAAGATTTTTTAAAAAAATACATATTAATAGATGATAGGCGCACCATTTTATATTCGAATGATAAAAATTAAAATTGAACATTGCATGAAATAAAATGTAAATATTTATATCTAACAATTTTTGACATATTTTTAATATAATTTTAATATTTATATTATTTCTTAATATTGTAATTATGAATGAGAATTTGCAATATTTTTTCTATAATTCTTTTTTTCTTTCAATTAAATATAGTAATCAAAAAAAGTACTAAACATATATATTTATAATATTTATGATACTTATTATGATAATGAAAAAAATACCATGCAAATTTTGTTAAATTAAAAAAGAATAGATATACTTTTTGTGGCCTTATTTTATTTGGCGAGAATGGAGAAAATAAAAATATAAGATATTCTTTTTATTTTTTGATATTTATTGAATTCAAAATAACTATATATTAAAAAATCAAATTATTATAATAATAATTTAATTTTTAGAAAATGTCATAAATTTCAAGGATTTCGTAAATGTTTTATTTTATGTAAATTAAAATACAATTGGAAAAGTAGGAATTCAAAGAATTAATAATATGAAATACTGTAATATGAAATACTATTTGAAACAGATAAGTTATAAAATTAATGTTAAAATATTAATAAATAAATTTTAATGACATGCAATTATTAAATATATATTCTAATTATTTAATTTATTATATTATAAAAGTATAAATTTCATTTTTTGTATTATCATAATGAATATATAATAAGCGACAAACATTAGATTGATAGTTTTAAATTTCAGATTTCTTAAATTTTTCTTTTTTTAAATTTATTTTTGACATTTGAACGAATAATTGAAATCTATTTTATTAATAAATTTCAATTTTTATATATAAATATATTTTATATTATATATATTTTATTATATATGCCATTAACTCGCCATCTTATTTCTTACATTATAATCAAACAACATAATCAAAAATAATACATATTTACAACACTCATCGATATTTTATTATTATTAATATTATATTATTTTACTATAATTATCGTACAATAACTTAATTCTTTTTTGAAAATCAGAAATTAGTTAATAATAAAATCAATTAATAATCAAAAATAAATCAGAATTCATTGAAATATTTATATTATATATTACTTTGGTAAATGATATATGATAAATGTAATTATTTCATTGCTTAAATTTTAATGAGTTTAATAGATACATATTCGATAAACTTTAATCTTCTTTCTGTGATTATTTATTTTAAAATTTTTGTGTTTAAAGTAAAGTAATACTATTATAAATAGTATTACAATATTTATAAATATAATATATAATATATAAAAAGACATATTTTATTGATTAAAGTTTAGCTTTTATGTATTTAAAAAAACAATATTTCATATTCATAATAGATAAATATTATACATATAATACATATGTTATACATATATTTTGTCTTATTTTTTATCATTATACATAAAAAGATAATAAAAAAATTTCGGTATAATACGACCTTTTTAAAATTTTTTCAATTTTCATTTGTGTGATTTGTTTGATTAAATGAAAAATTTAAAACTAATATTTTTAAATTAATAATAATATAATATATTATAATATATAACAATGAATATATTGTATGTATCAAAGATATATAATATTTATTTTCTTATACATAGTATTTGATTTTTATTTCGATATTCAAAAAAATAACTTATCACATATACACTTCATATTACCGTTTATCATTATTCTCCCCATAATGGAAAAAATATTACATTTAATATTTGCCTTTAAATCTCCATCACATAAATAAAAAATCATGCGTATACATTTATATTTTTTAAATTTTATTTCGTATATTTATTATCTCACGATTTTACCGATATACATGCAATGTCATCAATCCATTTGTATCAACTAGTTAGAAAGAAAAATTAAAATTAAACGTAAGCTCTTGTTATAAAGAGAAATTAAGATTAAAAGTAATTTTCTTCTTCAAGAAAAGTGCAATTAAAGAGGGTGTAACGTAAAATGATCGAAACGAACCATTTCTAACCAATTCTATGCGACAATGAACGAAAACGAAGTTCGAATTGAGGTTAATTTTGATTCACATTGAAACTTCTTGCAGCCAAATCTCCAAAAATTTCATCGGGCCGATTTCTTCCTCGAAGTAAACGTACAAGGAGAAGAGAAAAGAGGAGGCAGCGGGTGAAAAGAGGAGAGAAGGGAATATCGTCTGCTGGTCCAGTGGTCGGCTGGTTTCCGGTAGCGCGGCGCGGCTGCTGGATCCTCGATCCAGTGTGGCGGAACGCGAGTAGTGGGGTCGTCGCGAGTAGTGGCGCCCCCGGATTGGCCGAAGAGGAATTGGTCTTGGATGAGAGGATGCGAGCCGACGGTCAAAGGGGAAAGAGAGGGAGACTCGGGTGAGCGAGGGAAGAGCGGTGGTGGGGATGACTGCGAGCTAGAGAGAGACTCGGAACAGTTCGGATGCACACCGTGCAAGGACGGTGATTCAGTTAGCGGCGAGCCGCCGTCGGTGGAGGATTGTTGATTGTCGATTTTCCATCTCTCCTCGGATCGTATCGCTTCGATTTGAGCGGCGTGCCGCGCATCGTGCATCGTGTACCGTCTTTTCGAGGTATATACATTTCGATTCACGTTCAAACGAAACTGTCGCGTGTAATACGCGCACGCGCCCCCTATCTCGTTACAATCGTACTAGCTTGCTTAGGAATGAAATTGACACGCGCGTTCTGCCTGAAAATCGAATATACCTGAGTGAATATATTCTCTCGATGAAATTTATCGAAGCTGGTTTCCTCGTTCGAAGGGGAATCGTTTCGAACAGTTCGAAAATATTCGAAATCGAATCGAAGAACCGAGCTTCGGAGAAGATTTCGCGTTTTGTTTTCGCGATAACATTTTCGGGATAATGCGAACAGAAGGATCGATCGAAACAAGCGGCCTCGCGGTTGGCATCGATATTTTGAATGGTTAATCGATCGGTCACAATGATGACGAACAGGCGAGAGGCGTAAGATCGAAAGTTCGAAACTCGGTAGAAGATCGAGCAGGATCGCAACCCTCATCGTTCTTCCGTTATCGGAGAAGAACAGAGCGAGGAAATAATCGTCGAACGAGGCAAGGACGGTTTGTGCGTAGGTGACACAGTAAGGGGCTGTGGGAGAGGGCGAGCGGGAAGGGACGAGGCGAGGCAGAGCGAGAGAAAGGGGGAGAAAGACGGAAGAGAAAGGAAAGGAGGGGGAAAAAGGAAGGAAGGAAGGAAGGAAAGACAGAGGAGATAAAGTCGCGACTGGCGCGCGAACAACACCATCATCGAAGATGAAGAGTGGATCGTCAACGGGCGCGCGATTGCTCGTCGGAATCATTTGCGGGATGATTCTGTTCGATCGTGGGAATGCGCTGGCGGGCAGCGAGATCTACGCGAAAACGTTTCCCAGCCAACAACATCCGTCTGACCCGTGCTACGACGAGGACAGGCCGCGACGATGCATACCGAATTTCGTGAATGCGGCGTTCGGCGCGGCGATCGAGGCCTCCTCGACCTGCGGAAGCGGCGGCCCCACGAGGTATTGCGACGTGATCGAGCAGCCAGGAGGTAGCACGGGTATAGGTCAGTGCCATATCTGCGACGACAGCACGCCGCGGCGCCGTTTCCCCGCAAGTTACCTGACAGACGTGAGCAACCCCAACAACGTGACCTGTTGGCGGAGCGAGCCGCTCGTCACGTCGCAGAGCTTCTCCGCGCCGCCAGACAACGTGACCTTGACCCTCTCCCTGGGAAAAAAATACGAGCTGACCTACGTCAGCCTGCAATTCTGCCCGAAGGCGGCCAAGCCGGACTCGATCGCAATTTACAAATCGATGGACTACGGGAAGACCTGGCAACCTTTCCAATTCTATTCGTCCCAATGCCGCCGTGTCTACGGAAGGCCGAATCGGGCGACCATCACCAAGGCGAACGAGCAAGAGGCGAGATGCACCGACAGTCACCGATACACAGGCGGCAACGGGCTCGCGCCCGTCGGAAGGATCGCGTTCAGCACCCTCGAAGGCCGGCCGTCGGCTTCCGATTTCGACAATTCCCCGGTGCTCCAGGATTGGGTTACCGCGACCGACGTCCGCGTCGTGTTCAATCGGCTCCACATGCCCCAACAACCGTCCCAGGAGCAAGTGTTGCAGCTCGGCGGCGGGAACACCGGCGACGACCACGGCCTCGGCCTTGAGGAGTTGGCGAAACGCGAGAGGGAGCGGGAGGAGAGGTTGAAGAACCAGAAGAGCCTGGGCCGGGGCTCGCTCGACCCTCTGGCGACCGCTTTGCCCTCGGTGCACCAGGTGATCGCCCCCCAAGAGATGCAATCGAACGACGCGGTTGAGGAGGGTGAAGGCGGAGGAGGAGGGGGAGGGGGAGGCGGTTTCGCGGCTGTCACCGTTTCGACCACGACGAGCAGCACCCTTGCGGGCGGCCTCGGGACGAGCACGCTCGCCCATCACTACGCCGTCTCCGACTTCGCCGTCGGCGGCAGGTGCAAGTGCAACGGCCACGCGGCGAGGTGTATCCAAGGCAAGGACGGCGAGGTCGCCTGCGAGTGCAGGCACAACACCGCTGGCAGAGACTGCGAGAGATGTCGGCCGTTCCACTTCGATCGACCCTGGGCACGAGCCACCGCCAGGGATGCCAACGAATGCAAAGGTCAGTCCTTTTTTTTTTCTTCCGATTCCCGGTTTACACTCTGGCCACCGACGGACAGAGAGAACTCTAATTCGAGTCTCCTCCTCGAATCGAATTTCAACCTTCTTCGATTACTCGCAACTCGATGTTTTCTCTTTCCTCCCGCCTCCCCCCCCCCCAAAGACGTCACACGCGTTCCTAGCTGATACTTGATTCTCGATTCTCGCGGTTTCCAACCGAAGCGAAGTGTGCTTTACGTTTAACGCGTTTCACGCGTACGTGTGCCCACGCATACGGGAAGCGGTAATATGCTTTAAACCGCTTTTTCTTAAAGAAATAATTGGGTTTGGATTTACACGTGTCAGGCAAACGGATTGTTTTTTTTTTTTTTTACGATTTATGATCGATTCGTGTAAAAAGTAGTTTAATCGTCGTCCTGTCATTTCTCTGCCGTGTGTATTTATAAGAAGGTGAATGGTCCGGTTAATGTATATAATTGATTCGTTTATTTATTTATTTATTTAGAAATTGGAAAAGAAATAATTTAATTACTATTTTTAATTAAATATAAAATTTCGATTTCTATTTCTTTTGTATAAAGTTACATATATATGATGTATTCTTGTTCTAAAATTGCATTACGATATAAAAAAATATTACGTATTAAGTTTCTTTATTGTGAATGAAGTTAATAATAGAACGAGTATAGAAAAATACATCATATTACGAAAAAGAAAATTAAATTTTTAAATTATTATTAAAAAATTTTCAAATCACCATTGAAATATTCGTAAATAAGTCGCTTGCCGTAAATGTGTAAAATAAATGTGAAAATTCCATATATGAAACGTATTTCGAGATATTAATTCCAGTAGTATTTAAATTTACATTTAATATAGAAGACAAATTAATTTTTTTGATTGATTTAAAAGTGATTCACAGTAGATCCAAATTTATTTAATAATTAGTCATAAATATTATTGCGCGTGTTATCGTAATTATTAAAATTAAAAATAATATAAATAAATAATAATAGTTTTAAATAATAGCAATGGAATTAGTAAGGATTAAAATTATATCTTATTGATGAAATTTATCTTCAATTTTTTTTTTAATCGTTTTAATAGTAAGTTTTTTTTATTTAAATTTGATTGGAAATATTTTTTTTTTCACTATATCATTATTTTATTTTATCGCGTATTTGTTCAAAAATATATAATATATAAGTTATATTATCCATATATTTGCTTCAAATCTTGAATTAATGAATAATATTGAAAGATATGCAGAAGTCTTATCTATCATTTGGTATCTTACATGATAAAGAAAATATTATTGTATTAATGATCTGATTATAAAGTGAATGTAATTTAAGATTACAAATCAAATAGAAATTATTATTATATTTTGTATTGAATGAAATAATGTATCTTAATTAGTTAAATATCATATAATGAAATAATTTAATTTTAATTTACATATAGATATTTATCATTCACGATGATATGTAATTATAAATATAAATTCTGTCGAAAAAATGTTAGACAATTTTAATTTTGTTGCAATAAAATTCTGTAGAAAAAGTCCAAATCTATTATATTGGATAATGAAATTTCCTGAAATATTTCTCACGAGTGAAAATAATACTATATACCATAATAATTAATTTTTATATTACGCAAAATAAAGATACATTTTTAATATATTTATTAAAAGTTTTAGAATTTTGTTGTTAATCGTAGTTAAAAGGAAAAACAATGATACTAAAAGACACGAAACACATTTTCCTTTCATAATTACAAAATATATTTAGTAATAGATTTTTTCTAATATATTTAAATTAAAAAATATGATACAATTGTGGATTGAAAACAAATGAAAAATGCAATATCAATGCAATATTAGATTTTAATGGATTAAGATTTCTGAGCAAAAATACTTGTTTAATTGATTCTTGAAAAATTAATTAATTATATGTATTAAGCATCTTTGACTATGTATTATTGCTGCACGTTACACAAAATTCAATCAAAGAGAAAAATTTAAAATCGATCAATAGAAATTATATTGTTTGTTAATGACACAACATCAAGATTTATTTACAGATTAAATATAGGCAATATTTAATCATAATAATTTGAATATTTAATCTTATCGTTCTATTCACTAGATGTAGCATTGTCTAGCTACCTTTTATTGTAATCTATACAAAATTTGTTTGAAAAAAAAATTGTTTGAAAATTGACTTAAAAGATTTACAACAGCACTATTGAATCATTATCGAAGAAGATAAATTTTTCGAAAAAAAAAAGTGGACATTCAACTATCCAATAAAAATGAAAACAGATCATTGAAAATAATATATATATATATATTATAACTGTATTTTTTTTCATATTTTTCGAATTCTTCCCTGCTGCATTTCATTTTATTTTTACATCAAATAATCTATATTTATTAAAAGTAAATTTTGAGGTGTTCTCAAAATTATTAAAATTTTATATAATATAATTTCTTGTGACTAATTCTATTAAATTGTTGCAAATGAAACAGATTAAACTTAACTGGCTTAACATAAGTTCCTTGTGTTAATTTTTCGATTCTAAAATGTGGTATTTTCAATTTAACTGAAAAAAAAAAAAAAGTAGAATAGATAGAGTTAAATTCTAGTTTATGTAATTAAAAGGATAACGAGTTGGAATTAATGGAATGAAATGGAGAAGCGTATTTCAATTCGAGAAGAGTATTTTCTTGCCATCTTTTTTAGAAGATTGCGCGTTTGAATGTTACGCGTGATTCAAAAATGAATCGAAATTGATCTTAGAACGAGAATTTAATCGTAAAATTTTATTAATCATAAAATACAGAATAATATTGATTTTATATTTATTAACGAAACGAATAAATTCTTCTTTTCTTGCGAAGCTTTGATCCGTGTTTCCGTGGTTCAGAACTTGAGATGGCTGAAAGTGAATATCACAAATAATGTTTCTTTGTCTAAAATATCTTACTGTAATTGTCTATTATTTGAAACGTTTGCTTCAACCGACATTTTTTTTTCGATTTTAACGCATTCTTCAGCATCGATTCTCCAGTCTATTATATTTTTTTCTCAAAGCAGAAAGGTTGATCTTTAAGATCCATATTTTTAACAATTTTGAATTTAATTCTTTGAACTTGTTTTCGTAATTCTCGACTTTCTCTCATTCATAACATTTTTTAACGTCCCTTCACGAAAAGAATTAAAACAAATTTTACCTTTTCTTCTTTCTAAGAACAGTTCCCCGCAGTTTCATTCTTAACATTTGGCACAACAATGAGTTTATGAAGCTATCAAACTCCGTATGTAGATCATAAAAGTTACAATCAAGATGTGGGAGAAAAAAACGGAGCACAACGGATTGAACGTTATGTTTGCCGTGCTCGATATCATTGTTCTTGCCGAAGAATGTGGAAAGTGAAGTTATTTTTATGCCCCAGTAATCTTGACGGTTAAATTAAAATAACAATTAAAAGAAGCGAGAAGTAACATCTTAGAATAATAAATAAAAGTAGAATTGTTACTAGAATAAGCCGAAAAATCACAAATCTTTGACTTATATTTACGACTCGTCTCTAAAAGAAAAAAAAATAAAAAACTCAATATTTTTATTTAGTAAAACAGCAAAATGTAACATTATCACAAAGCAAACCAACTTACCCTACTTCTCTTATCTCCAACGAATATTTCCAACGAAAATTGATACGTGATGTTTTAATACTCGAGGATTACTCGATATAAATATAATTATATAAAAAGGGACGCGTTATATATTCGTAAGATGAATATTATTCTTATCTATAAAACGAATAAAATTGAATGGAAAATATGTTAATCTTATAGAAACATATCATGTATCGATTTTTTTCTTGAAAAAATTGCAAATAACGTTCTACGTTTATAGGTAGTGCAATATCGTATTTCGTCCCGGGGAGTAATGCATTATCCTATATTTTGTCACGATATTTACGGCATGCTTTCTTTGTAAATATTTCTCGAACATACCGTAGAAAATATTTCGACGAGTTGCACATTGTCTCGAGAGCTGTAAGTCGACTCGCATTACCTACAACCGAAAGGACATGGGGATGGCCATGTTTCAAACGTAAGGGGTGCCCATATTCCGACAAAGTGAACATTTTCATCTGTAGGTACGTGCAGCATTACGAGCAGCGCTTTCATCCACGGTTGTATTTCATTCAAAATATTTTTCCCGTGTCTCAACGTCACAAACTTGTGCGTCGAGGGATCCGATTTCTATTTAAGATAACATAGATATCATTGTTATTTATCCCTCTACGCACGAGTCTGAAAAAAGAGAGTTTTTAAATAAGCTACAGTTTTTTTAAGTAAGAAGAAACAGAATAATTAAAGTTTCTTTCTTCTTTCTCGTTCTGTTCAGGATAAAAAAATACCTTCACGAGATAAGTATGAACGAATTTAGAAAGAATTGTTTAGATATAGGATATAGTACGTAGTTATATATATTTATATAACTTAAAATTTGCAAAGTTTAGAGAAAAGATGATGTATGTTTAGGAAAATATAGAATTTCGCGTATATTTTGTTACGATTTTGTTATTCTGAGAGTCGTGTATATTTTTTTCCACGATCAAAAGGTTTATCTTTATTTTCAGATGATTGTAATAATTCCAATGGTTCAACTACTTTTTATTAGCAATAATCTCTCTCTTTTTTGAGGATATTCATCCTGTAATCGTTCCAAACCTTTAATATAATAAAATTTTCATCACTGTTTTTTATTATACCTTAATTAAATGTTAACGTTGTAAAAGTGTCATACATGATTTAATACAAGATTTAAAATGCATAGATGTAGATAGATACAAAAATAATTATTTCTACTTTGTTGAAAAAGATTATCATAAAAATCACGAATTTTCAGAAAATGAAAATTCTTTTCTAATCTTTTCTTTCTCTTTGAATTTTGAGATGATCGATCATATTTGATAAGAGTTGC